ATATCAAAATATATATGCCGCTCGCGAAAGCATGTAGCCTTTTGTGTTTTGTAGTTGCAAACATAATGACTTTCCATTTTTGTATTGACCTAACTTGTCATTTTTCAAGTTGGTCTTAATTGAAAGTTACAGTACTTTACACGCAAAAAATTGATTTGGGAATGAACAAACAAATCGCTAATCGGGGAGAAGTCTATTCCTAAATCGTTATAACAAATAATAATGGTTGTTACGATTAATGAGAATTTTGTAGCAACAACGAATAGCAACTTTCATTCTCCACTTTTATTTTTCCAACCTTTTTCATATAAGAGTTGAACTGCAGCTAGCAATTAAAAAGATGCATGACAAAAGGTGATGGTGAAAAAATAGAGCGGATGACCGTTCAAAACAAGTAAAGAAATTACGGGAGATTTATATATGTTAGTTTGTCTCATAGTTAGTTAGGTATATATCCACACTCTTACAATGAATTTACATATTTTTTTCATACATAAATATCGTATTTAGGTAGCCAAACAATAATATTTGTTAGGAATTAAAGATAGGAAATTAAATTTCACATAATTATTTTCCTATTAGTTCGACCGAAGATGGTAGGGGCAAACGGAATCTTTTGATTCGAAAGTATTAGCCAACAAATAATTTCATTCCACAGTACTATTCAAAAGTATTGCCAACTAATAATGCAACAATTTTATAAACCCTAATTTATAAGCTTTGTTTGTGGTGCAGCAATATTGTATTAATTGGCATGCATCTTGCTTAACATATACATTTGTGGATGTCCTATAATATAGACCAAGCATCAATTGGCAACAAAATTTGGATGTTATAAATGTTTATTCTTCCTTGTTCTTATTGATGATGATGATGATTGATGATGATGATTGATGACAATAATCAACAACAATAACCCTAAACTAATTACTAGATGATGAATAAATTCATTTACTGTTCAAAAGAGCCCCATGGGTATATTTTGTTCTCTTTTTATTTTCTTTTGTGCACTTTATAAATATATTCACTCAAATAATTTGGACACATTCCATGTTGCTTCGTAAGATATACTATATAATATATTAAAGCCCACTAGCTATTAGTAGGGGTACTTGATAAAAAAAAGGCTCACTTTAATATGAAATCACTGCAAATAATGCATGTCGTTTTTTTTTTTTTTTTTTTTTT